CTTATTTTTTAGTTGAATTGTTTTTAAAAATTTTCAAAATAAAGATTATAAAGATTCTGTATACAACCCATTTGAATACCTGTAGTACAGGTCCTGTAAGCGTATTATTTGTCAAAGAATTTGATTTATACTAATGGAAACAAACAGAGAAGTATTAAAAAGATTAGTCTATTAATATTATATTAATTTAATATACCAGTACAGTATAGTTCAAAATATATTTTCTAATGTAATAGGGTCCTACTGTTGAGTTTAAAATATTAGTACGATAAAAAGGCTGTTTTCTCAGTTTAAAAACTGAATCCATAGTAATATTACTGTATATTAATAGAATCTAATTAAAGGTAGTTGTAGTTCTACCTATTTGTATGGTTTACAAATACCAAATAATGTAAGTTTCCCGGATCATAAATGTGCATGACAGTACTATCAAGTCATTCTCACTTACCAAGCACAATTTAGTAGAATTTAGAATTTGTGAGCTTATAGTGAATGTTCATGAGAGTGGAGTCACTTTGAAAGTGGCGCTCGAGTGGCAAAACACATGACTTTTCACATGTTTTCCATAAGTTTTGAATTGAATTGAAATCACAATTGAATTGTTGTGTGAAATGGACACCGATTTAGACGTCGACCGCATCTGTCAAGTAATTGCCACACATTTAATCACTTGTCCATTCATTGCATCCATTTGTCACTCAATTATCTCTCCATCTCTTCCTCAATGACAGCAAATCCAAGAGAAGGCATTGAAGGCAACCAAATGCTCGCTTGGGATCAAGTCTTGTGATTTGAGTTATCACTGCAACACATCCGATAAGTTGAAGAAAGTGCTCAAACATGAGACCAATGAATGTCTTGAGATGTCTGTCCTTTGATTGCATGAAAAGTATGCCAATGAGTGACTAATTGTCTGTTTTGTTGAAGGCTTTCATCTCTCATTCAAAATGAATACAAAGGAAAGCGAATCGAAAGGATCGGTTCCGACGAAGACAAGAGTGATGTCATAACCGAACTCAACGACAATATATTCGACAAAATCGTATGTTTTGGTGATCTTTTGGATTCGTTGTCTCGCATACCATGTAATGAACGCTTGTATTGAAGGGCAACCATTTGGATGAGGCGTCGGGTCTGAAGCAAAAGGCGGCGGATCTGGTGTTGGCCACAATGGGTGATCAGAAAACCATCAACTCTTCGGCCACTTCCTCGTGGAATCGGACTATAGTTCGCGCCAAACGAGGAGTCAATTGTAATCTACTTTCGGCTAAAATGGTTGAGAGATCGCAGTTGAAGTTCAAAGACAAGGTCGACAACAGTAACCATCCATTTGTTCCGATCATCAAAGATAAGCCCAACTCTATTAAACCGCTTTCCATATTACTCGAGAAGAATGAGTTTGGATTTGATTCGTATTCACATCCCTATGAAGTGGAGATCGAAAAGTTTGAACCCAAAGAGCACTTCTTGCAAATAGAGATTCCAGAGGTATGTCATGTCTTCTCATTTGTATTCAACACCTATTTATGTCTATTATATGAAACAGTTTCCGAAACCACTGTCAGAAACACCGTTTAAACACATCACTAAATTAGAGGATTTAAATGAATTGTGCGCTCATCTCAAGACATGTGATGTAATTGCAGTGGATTTAGAGGTAACTTAGCGCTTGTCCCATACTTTACAGTATTACCGTAATCATTTTTTGTTTTTTATTATCATTGATAGCACCACTCGTACCGAACATTTCAAGGCTTCACGTGTTTAATGCAAATATCGACTAAAACAGGCGATTATATTATAGATACCATTGAATTGAGATCTGAAATGCATTTACTAAATGAAGTGTTTACTTGTCCCTCAATATTGAAAGTAATATTCATGGACACTATGATAGTTTAAAATGATATGATATTTGTGTGAATCTAATTGATAGATATTCCACGGGGCAGACATGGATGTGATTTGGTTGCAAAGAGATTTTGGCATATATTTAGTGAACCTTTTTGACACATTTCAAGCCTCCAAACTGCTTGACTTTTCTCATCTGTCGCTCTCATACCTATTGAGACATTACTGCAATCTTGAGGCCGACAAACACTTCCAATTGGCTGACTGGCGCATCAGACCTCTCACTCCTGAGCTGTTGAAGTACGCGCGCGAAGACACGCATTACTTGATATTCATTTACATCCAAATGAAGAACCAATTGATTGCTTCGGGAAATAGTGAGAAAAATTTATTGAAAGCCGTATTTGAAAGGAGTAAAAGTGTTTGCCTTAAAGTAAGTCTTTTATAGTAAACTTAATTACCCGTAAGTCTAATAAAACTGTTTTCATGTTAGAAATACGAGAAGCCTTTATATAACAGTGAAAGTTATCGTTCATTACTTAAGAAAAGTAAAGTTAACTTCAATTCAAGACAATTGTTTGCTTTGAAAGAGTTATACGATTGGAGGGACAGAATCGCCCGCAATGAAGATGAGAGTATTGGGTCAGCACTTGATTTATATTTGTTTATACCGTAAATTGCATTCATTTTATAATTTTATATTTAATTGTTGTTTAGCTATATTTTGCCAAATCATATGCTCTTGCATATGGCAGAAGTATTACCCCGGTATGTTTATCTACTATATCTATAGATTCATAGGTATAATAATTGATTGATATGTTTGTTGTGATGGCAGTGAACAGCAGGGAATTCTTGCCTCTTGTAACCCAATCCCACCGTTAGTTAAACAACAACTCAATGAAATTCATTTAATAATATTGAAGGCAAGAGAGAAGCCTCTCACCAAACCTGAGGACTCAAACAAAGACCACTCATCTCTCGCTCAAAGTTTCGCCAATAGAGTCATTGATTTAGACGAACAGATAGACTCGAAACACGACAAATATGCGGCTCATTCTCACATCAATACCAAGCCTTTGATCGACCAGTTTTCCGGTCTATTCCCTAAACATATAAAAATGTAATTGTATTTTATTTATACATAAATTCATTTATAATTTCAGACAAAGAGTTTTGTGAATCACAAGAACCAGTGAATGAAAATCTACTGAAAAAGAGGTCGCATTTCATCGATTTCTTCACCAATAAGTCTGAACCGAAAAGAAGTAAAACTGTTGAAAACATTTGCTCTTCTTTTATATCACAATTTGAAAGAGTAATCCATAAATCGGTTTATTTAATGTCACTATTTATTTAAAATAATGTTTTCTCTCTTTTTTAGTATAACTTAACGATTAAACGACAAAACAATTTATCCCAAGAAAACGGTGAGGATTTGAGTCTTACTTGACTTACAACTTATTCTTAACGTTCAAAGTGTTGGCAATATTTAAAAATAAATATTAAATAAAAGTTTATCCCTTTAACTATATTTATAATTTATGAAACCAATAAAATGATAAGTTTTTAAAATGTAAAATTATTGCACTTTCAATGGTTTATTAATAGATGTACTGGTTTACGCAAATTGCTTACAATTTAGAAATGATTACTTAAAAGTAAATGTGAATAGGTCAGAAAATTGCATTAACCTAAATTGATTAAGTAAGGTGAATCGTGATAAATTCACTACCATAACAGAAAATTATTTTATTTTTCATTTTGATCAAGACCAAGGTCATAGTGACAGATCACCATGTAATAAGCATAGAAAACCCTAAATAATTAGACCAATTCGTAAGCATAGATTAGGTTATGCAACAATTGGATGCGGACAACACATTAACCATTTGAATTGATCTTGCTACAATAATTAAATTGTTACAATAAGTGACACCATTTGAATTGATCTTGCTACAGTAATTAAATTGTTACAATAAGTGACTCGACAACACCAATGTTTATGAATATTAATATTAATACTGTAGTGCTTTGAAATGAGCGCCAATTGAGACAGCGATGACACCTGTGAGCGTAGAGTGGAGTTAATGTATTAGAGATTGACTTGTATTTTGATTATTGTATTTACAATACATTCTCATTGAATGTATGAATGCATTGAATATTGTATTTACAATGAGATCTATTGGATGTATTGACTCAATGTATTGAATAGATGTGCGAAATAATGACATTTAATATAATTATCAATTGTTTTCATTTCAATCGTTTCTGTTTTGACTGCAAATTGGTTTGAATCGCGTTATGAGACACAACCGTTTACGAGTCAGTCCAGAATGACATCAATGGCCACAAATGCCACCACAACTGGATCCATGTCCACGTCCAACACCACCACTGGTCACCACTCGACCTCCACGACCACCACCACCACGACCATCGGGTCCAGCGGTTCCAACGGCTTATTGTCTTCGTTCAATCAAATGCCAAACGATTTGTTTACAAATAAAGAGATTTTTATCAATCTCTTCAGTGATTGTGATTCTGTTTGGCATCACTTGAGTGACAATAAAAGACAAGAATTGGTCGACAATTATCTGCCGAAAGAGATGTCAGGCAGTGATAAGGAGAAGACAGTGGAACTGCTAATGAATGGACAGTTGAGTCGATTCAATACGGATTTATTGTCTCATATTTTCATATCTTTGAAATCACACAAAATGAGTCCCGATTTGGTTAAGGCATTGGAGGACGTGAAGACATTGAGGAAGAAATTGTTTGCCATTTATGAGCAGAAAAGACAATCACTTCTTCTGAACGAAGTGATGCACAAAAGGCGACAACTCTTTGACCAATCGATTGAAACCAACAAATCAATTGAGTCCAAGAAAGTGATGACTAATTCGTTGAGAACTGAATCCAAGAGTCTTCGCGAGAGGGTTCGCTTGAGATATCGTAAAGAACTGAAGGAAATCTGCATTAAAGCCGACAATTCATCCGAAGAAGACGACCACGACTTTTCGCATACGTTTGAGAAGATATTGATGTGTAAAATGAATGGAAATGTGAATCCATCAGTGAATCCAATAAGTGATAAACAATACCACGAAATGCTTAGAAAACATAAGAGAAAACGGAAGGCAAAGGAGTCGGACAACAGCTATGAGCCCACACTCGAGACCCATACCATTACGTTAAGTGATATCATCACCAGAGTCACCAACACTGCCATCACCACCAACTCGACCAATACATGTAAAACAGTGAACACATTATCACAAACCCATACCAACAGTGCTCTCAAGTCTTCCTCGATATCGACGCCTAAGAAGAAGGCAAAGCACTCGAGTTTCACAAAAAGCATTCAAACGAATCAAACGAAAATTCTTCCAAAATCTCATTCACCGAAAATTAAAGTCGAAAAAGTGGTGACAAATGAATCCGAATTAAGTACTAAAAGTGATGGAAATTATGAACAAAGTGTTTGCAATACTAATGATAAAACTGTTGATCAAAACACCAGTTCGACGACTAAAACGAGTGATTTTGTCACAAAATCCAGTTCCTCTCCTTTACCTTCAGGTGTGACGGAAACTGAGTGTCCAATTGTGTCAACACTTCCCTCCCTGTCTGTAGTGAAGCAATCGATAGCTAACGTGACACCAGAGCCCTGTCCCCCAGCCGTTGCCCAACCCGTGACCTTCGAGAAGGCGCCCAAATGTTTCTTTTCATTACTTCGTGACATCTTTACGACAAACGCATCGTCTGATCAAAGGCTGACTTTACATAAGTTGGAAGAACTGGTGAAAGAGAAACTCCGATCTTTGAGTCCATACATCGGTTGGTCTACAGAAATGGTTGCCTCAGCCATGAACTACTTGAGTGGAGTGCTTCCACCGCCACATTTGGTGCCACTCGTCGACTACAAGGAGAAGAACCAACAGTGGCAGTGGATTGGAGGGGGAAGGGATCGCGACCAGGAGTTGGTCCCACTTTGCGATCAGTGGGTCAAGAATAAGGACGAAGACCCCACCGCAGGACTCATTAGCTTTTCGCAGGCATTGCCGCCACCGGCTAAATGTCTCACCGATTGGATTGTTAGGCCGTCCAGTAATGAAGAGAAGAATGTTTACCGGACTCAGGAAGCCGTCAGATATAACAACCCTTACAAAGCATTTACTTATAAAGTGCACGGCTATGAGAGTGTTGTGGGACCCGTCAAGGGTTGTGGTATCGGTGCTGCCAATGGGCACAACGCCGCGAGTCCTAATAAGGCCAGAGAGCACTCACTTCTGGTCAACGATAGGCCGCCTTTTGTTACTCTACTAAGTCTTGTGAGGGATGCGGCCGCGCGACTGCCCAACGGCGAGGGCACCAGAGCTGACATTTGCGAACTCCTTAAAGACTCGCAATACTTGTTGCCAACCATTTCCGACCAACAGGTGAACGGCATAGTTAGCGGTGCTCTCGACCGACTCCACTACGAGAAGGATCCGTGCGTTAAGTATGACGTGAACCGAAAGGTTTGGATTTATTTACACCGAAACAGAACTGAAGGCGAGTTCGAGCGCTTACATGAGGTCCAGATCGCAGCCGCCAAAGCCAAGAGGTCTATGAGTAAGGCCTCCCGAAAGAATAACTGTGCGCCCAATCAAAGCAATCAATTGAGTCAAACGGGACAGTTGTTTACGAAGACAACACAACAGGCCATACATCAAGCGGTCACTAATATTTTGAACTCCGAAGCGTTGAAACTGACCACAAAATCGACGTCCAATTCGAGCGATTCTGAGACTCCTGTAGTGAATGTCTCAACAGATACTGTGAACACAAACAAAGCGATTGCTTCTGATTTGAAGAACTCTTTATTAATGAATGCAAACAAAGAGAAGGATTTGAGTCAATTTGAAGCCAACTCTTTGAGTCCATTCAATGGGTCCACATCTGCGGCAACATTGGCCTCAAACTCGTTATTTTTGTCACTTCAGCCAAACAATCAAATCCGATGCAAAACAGAAGTCACTTCTTCTCCTAATATAGCAATCATTGAGAAGAAGAAGTTAACGAAACTTAAAGACAATAAAGTGATGGAAACGCAGAAGAATATCAAACCAATAGATAATAACAAACAGAGTATTATAGTGTCGGCCAATAGTTCTCAGCCGAGTGTTAGTCTTTCCATAGCGTCGAGTGAAGTGACAAAACTAATGACAAATGAATCCAATTCCTCGAAAACAGTGCAAAAGCCTCGAACTGTTAGACAAACGAAGCCTTCAATTAAAGTTCAAATCCCAAAGACTATAACCCTTCCGATCACTATATCACAAAATACTCTCAAAACTCAGCCATCGATTACCACTTGTGTGGCATCAGAAAGCCTACCGACGCTTATCAGTGTAACCAATCCCTCAAACAAAGCCACGACATTGACGTCTAATGCAGAACCTCTGCAACAGTCGAGACCAATGACCACTAAACTCATATCTGGCACATACCTGAACAGCACCGGTGGTTCGAGTGGTGCGACCAATCAAATGCATCAAATCAGTATTCCTACGAGTGTTCTGTTCGGCGCCCGACCCGGTTCTGTGGTTTTAGGTATGCTTTCCATTAGTCCTTTATTTGGCACCAAATATTCATATAGTTTGCTTTGACAGCCACTCCTACGGGCAAGTCATATATGATGGCGGCCACCGGCAGTTCCATAGTTCTTCAGCCCAACTCTACCACTCCAGCCATCAGTAGTTCATCGGACACTCCGGGCTCTCAAACCCAATCCCTTGCCGTTCGCACTCTTCAGGGCATTCGTGTAATACCAGTGAACGCTAATACAGTGAACACTACCACCAAAATTCATACCCCAATCACCGCCAAAAACAATGGCCCGAACGCACCGGTAGTGATGGCAACTCAGGGACAGACAGCTAACATTCCTGCGCACCACCAGTTCGTCGCTCGCATAATAACCACCGCTCAGACCAATAGAGGAAATATACCGCAGACTCAGATTGTCATCCCTTCTACCTCTTCACTGCAGCCATTGTTTTTAGCGCATCCCTCACAGAGCACGGGAACTACACAACCGATTATACAACAAATGACTTCAACCACAACGACAACAACTGCACAGATATCAGCGGAACTGCATAAAGCAAATGTTGCCATAACTTTGCCCCCAAGAACCACATCCTCTTAGTATTGGATACAAAGGGATGACAAATCTCTTACTGTATATACCGTATGAATGACGACTCATCTAATGGTCAAACAGATGATACAAAACAATTCATAACTCAACTAAAAAGGACTGAATTGATATGAAAATCATGAGAACTACTTATTTGTTGACTAATATATCACATCCAAACTGATATGAGAGTCAACTTAAGCTAAGACTAAGAATATTGTAATATTATATATACTGTATAAGCAAAGCATGAGTTTATATTAATTTAAATGAAATATATATTTTGATTCTATAAGAGTTTTTGTAATATTGTATTAAATGTTGTAATTATTTAAACAAATGAATTGGTTTTTAAAATTTAATATTAAAAATAATATGAATTGAGTTTATTAGAAATAAATCTCAAATTAAATTAAATACTGATTAACAGTGAAACACCTTGCTTATTTTATTCTTTCATTATTCTGTTATTACTGTATTATACTCTCTTATTGATCGTACAGTAAGTTATGTTTGAGTATTTTAAAAGTAATAATAAATCGATGGACATATTAATTATATTAATTCATAGAAATTAATGAGCACTTGATCTGCAGTTAATGTTTTAGTAATACATTAAATGATAAAATATATGAAAAGAGCGCTAATTATATGAAAGTAATTCAATTGAGACAATTGAAAGCCATTGAAGGCATCGTTCAATGAGAGAGTGAATGCATTGAGTGTTTGCGGTGTGAAAGTCCTCAACCCCTCAACCCCACACTCCCTCTCATTGAACAGTGTTTGTGAGACTGACTGTGTGTCTGATGCACAACATGTTTGACCGCAGCTGTCATTTAGTGATACATTGAGTGACACTGGACTACACCGACGATGACAGTGGTGTTGATGATCGCCGAGAAGCCATCGTTGGCCCAATCGTTGGCCACAATCCTGTCTAATGGGCGGCAGAAGAGTCGGAAGGCAGTGAACAACGCGTGTTCTGTCCACGAGTACAGGTCTTCCTTCAGAGGACACAAAGAAGTGTTGTTTAAGTTCACATCAGTTTGTGGTCACGTCTTCTCTACCAACTTTGTCTCCAAATACAACAATTGGGACACAACTGATCCGCAGGACCTCTTCGACTGTGCCACCATTAAAGAGGAGGCGAACCCGAAGTTAAACTTAATTAAGTTCTTACAGAAAGAGGTAATCATTGTCTTCATTAATGTCTTCATTGTCTCCATTAATCTCTTCATTGTCTCCATTAATGTCTTCATACATTGAACCCAATGTCTGTCCCTTTGTTTGCATATAAGGCCCGCGGATGTGATTATTTGGTTCTTTGGTTGGATTGCGACAAAGAGGGCGAAAACATATGCTTTGAAGTCATTAATTGTCTCAACTCTTCAATGAATATATCGTTCAGAAATCCTCAGGTTTTCCAGAATTGAGTCAATTGTTATCAGTTTGACATTCATTTCTAATTATATTCAATGATATATAGACTGTATTTCGCGCCAAATTCAGCGCAATCACTGACAAAGACATAAAGTCTGCCATGAATTCACTGATTCTGCCGAACGAATTGGAATCGCTTTCAGTGGACGCCCGACAAGAACTTGATCTTCGGATCGGCTGTGCTTTCACTCGCTTTCAGACGAGATTTTTTCATGTAATTTCAGATGATTCTCGATTTACTTGATTTATTTGATGACTCACTTTTCATGTCAAATTGAAGGGAAAGTACGGCGATTTGGACAGTTCGCTCATATCGTTCGGCCCGTGCCAGACCCCAACCCTGGGCTTTTGTGTGGATAGACACGACAAGATCCAGACATTCAAACCGGAGCCCTATTGGGTGCTCAGTGTGTCCGTCCGATCGGCCACTAATGAGTGCTCACCGACGATGACACTCGAGTGGGACAGAGGCCGCGAATTCAACCAAAACACAGCCAAGTCTTACCTCAATTCAGTGAAATCCCAGAAAAGAGCCAAAATTGTGTCCATTTCTACCAAAGAGAAGACCAAACCGAGACCTAATGCACTAAACACTGTGGAACTGTTGAAGATCTGTAGTTCAGGCCTCGGCATCGGTCCGCACACAACGATGCAAATCGCCGAACGGCTGTACACTCAGGGATACATCAGTTACCCTCGAACTGAGACCAATCAATACCCCAATAACTTTGATTTGGTCTCAACTCTCAGAACAATGGCATTAAGTAACGATTGGGGACAAGAAGTGAAACAACTTCTTGAGAAAGGAATAACGAAACCAAAGTCAGGTCACGACGCCGGAGACCATCCGCCCATCACTCCTATGAAAATAGCACAACAGCACGAATTGGGGGATCGGGACTCGTATCGCATATATGAATACATTTGTCGTCATTTCATAGCCAGCATTAGTGCGGACATGAGGTACGACCAAACGACCCTTTCCTTCGTCATCGGATCCGAAAACTTCTCCAAACAGGCGTCTATTGTAACTGATCCCGGATTTACACGCTTTATGTCATGGCATGCGATACCCAACGAACAAAAGTTATCATCAAATCTTAAAGTTGGCGATGAATTCTTGATAACTGACGCTAAACTACTCGAGCGCATGACCACAGCTCCCGACTATTTGACTGAATCAGGTATTGCCATAACTATCTCTATGCTTACTATACTTCTCTTAGATGAACACCGAATGTAATAATGATTGAAATGTAGAACTGATTTCACTGATGGAAAAGCACGGCATTGGAACCGACGCTTCAATTCCGACACATATTAATAACATATGTCTCAGAAATTATGTAAAAATTGGAACCGGAAGACGACTGATTCCAACTCAGTTGGGAATAGTGTTAGTCCACGGCTACCAAAAGATAGACAGCGATTTGGTTTTGCCGACCCGTAGGGCAGCCCTTGAAATACAACTCAATGAAATAGCAGCCGGAAGAGTGGACTTCGAAACAGTTCTCAATAAAACTATTAAAGAGTTTAGAAATAAATTCTTATATTTTATGGAACACATCCCAGCGATGGACGAACTCTTTGAGGTCTGCTTTTCCTCTTTGGCTGATTCGGGAAAACCTATTTCCAGGTATTCATCACGTGAAACATGTTCTGTAAAATTATGTTAATATTGATTTGCTTATAGATGTGGCAAATGTCGGCGATATCTGAAGCTAATCGTAGCGAAGCCGCAACGGGTGTACTGTGCGACCTGTAATGAGACCTATTCTATACCTCAAAACGGAAATATCAAAACCTATCGCGAGTTGCGCTGTCCGATCGACGACTTCGAGCTCCTGTACTTTTATAGAACCGGTGCTTCCGATAAGAGTTTCGTGCTCTGCGTCCACTGTTTCAATAACCCTCCCTTTGAATCGATGCCAAAGTCTTCCGGTTGTAATCAATGTCCAAACGAAGAGTGCAAACATTCAATGATTTCCAACACATTGACTGAGTGCCAGAACTGCAAGTTTGGTGGACAACTTGTATTGGATCCGGGATCAGGTCCTCCCACGTGGAGGGTTGGGTGCAACAAATGCACGTTTTCGATGTCCGCCTTCAAAGACGCACAGAGAGTGACGGTTGAGAACCAGAGGTGCGATCAATGCAGTCGCCGGTTGTGTTCAATTGAATACAAATCAGACAAATCGCGTCTAAAGGACGGATCGCTTCAATTCCACGGCTGTGTCTGGTGTTCAGACGAGTACTCATCACTCGTTCAGGCTATGAGTCGACTACAAACCAATTTCGCCACTTCCTCCAGAGCTAACGGTTCTGATCACAGACCCAGCTATCAATTGGATGGCGGGTCCAACTCAAGCAGAGGTGGTCGCGGTGGAGGCAGAGGTGGTCGCGGCAGAGGTCGAGGCCGGGGCAGAGGCGGCGGAAGAGGTGGTCGCGGCAGAGGTCGTGACAGAGACCGAGATATGGATGACGACTACTCGCACTCTGCACCGAAGGGCGCAATGACTCTCTCGGACTTCATGTGAACCATGATTTTTGAATTAATTTAAACAAAATTCATTAAAGAGTTTGCTTTTCATAATAAAAATGGTTAACTTTACTCAAAATTACTAAACAAACATTGTTAATGAATATAGACCTTTGTTACGCAACACGGATTCTCAATCACAGGCAATCTACTATCATTGGTAACTAACCATAGTAATTACTACACGTTAATTAGTGCCTAATTAGTGGCCTCCCAACGCGTGATGCAATAATTGCCTAATCAGTGATTGCCTAACAATGAGGTAGTGATGTGTAGTGGTTCGCGCCAGTAGGTGTGGGTGAGTGAGGGGCAGACCCGGGCTGTGCCTCGCGATTGGGTCCATACGTCATGTGTGACGCTATAGTGTGCTGAGCTGTGAGGGCTGTGTCTGTATGTGAGCCCAGAGTACGCACTGTTAGCCCGCCTTTGCTTCATATGACAGCACAACCAACACAACCAACACTCACACAAATTGCTGTCATTTTTGCCCATTAATTGTGTGAAGCATTCAATCTATACTTATATCCAACTCATTGTCCCAAACATCCATTCAGTGTTCACGAGGCACTCAATGTAAGTAACCAATCAATGATTAAATGCTTTGATTATCAAATCTGGATCAATTCAAGACTGGGAGGTAACGGATTGTCAATATACTATAAACCCAGGTTTGTCCGTAAGTCAGACAGTATGTCACGAGATGATAATATATTGTCTGCCATGTCGCATAGTCTGTATGACATGACATATCACTCAGTACTACAGGTGCACTGCTGTATGCTTTGGACCCATAAATAGTTAATTGTAGTTAATATCTGACAAAATGTCTTAATGTAGGAAATGATGAGGCGATCGATGGCTTACTTATCCATTGCATACATGTATTATCAATGAAATACCAGTTTTGGGTTGTCTTATGAACTCAAAACTTTTCCCATGCATTCAAATCTATCCATTACTAGTATTTCATTTCTAACCATTCATTTAATGAATTATCTTTTTTAGGACACAAATTGTGTTCAATTTCTTTACCGTAATATTTATTTGCATTATCTCTAAGATATAGTGAATGCAATGATAGCACAAAAGTCAATGAAATGCAATCCATTTGAACGCAACTGTGCGGTCACTATAATACCAGACAAACCATTATTAATATACAAATGAGTCTTACAGTTAGGATATGCTATGATTTGCACCACAATAGTGACCGCAATAGAAACCTATGTCTCAAATAATGTGTAGATTTAGTGAATATACTGAATGAGCATGGTGGTAATAGTGGTAGTGGTGGTAGACTTGTAAGAGTGACTGTGTTGGGTGGTTGGGTGTGATTTAGTTTTAATGGTGACACTTGTTGTGTGTCTTATTTGTAGAGTATTAAAGTGAGGACCCATTAAATGGTGAGAGAATGGTATCAACTCTTGGCGTTATGGCCGATTTCACCTTGTCAATAGTGAGCTTAGACACACTTCACAAAGTCTTCTACAACCAGTTGCTCTGAGATCACCTGACATGCCACCGCACACTACCCCGGTCATACTTCCGGGTCCAAATGGTTTTAGCCGCCAGCAGCTCCTACTTCGAGAACCTTTTTATATCCAATCCCTGCACACATCCCATAATTATCCTCAAAGACGTTAGTTTTTCAGACTTGCAGTCTGTTATTGATTTCATATATACCGGTGAAGTGAACGTACCTCAGGACCAGTTGAGTTCACTTCTTAAAACTGCGGAAACGCTTAGAATTAAGGGTCTCACAGAAGTGGCCGACAAGGAGTCAAGGAGTGAACATTCAGTGCAATCGATGGCAACGAGGACTAGAAGAAGAAAACGAAAGCGAAATAAATCACAAAACAATGAAAATGTTTATACGAGTGAAGAGGAAGAGAGAATGACTAATAATAGCAGATTTAGAGACTTAAGTCACTTAATATCATTATTAACGTTACAATCCCCACTCTCTGTTTTCTACTGGTGTTTATAGCTATGTTAATGACAGTTGTTTCTGTTTCTTAACTGAAATTTAAATCTTCTGTAGCTTGGCTTAAAACTTTTGGAACAGTCGATGTCTACACCAGAAGTACTTTTGTCGAGTATTATGTAAATGATAATTAATTGCAATATATTTACAGAACTCGAGACTTGAATGTGCAATCGATGGCTCGTTAGCCACACCTGACCATCAATTAGAACTAGAAGATGGCGAAGACAATGGTTTGATTAGACAATCATTGTTTGTCATTTGTGTAGATTTTACAATATATATGTTCTCTGTTTTAGAGTTACAAGAAATACCATTAATTGACGAAAACGATTCTCAGGATTTTCAAGATTTAAACCAATTTAAAGGCTATACCATTGATAACCATTTAAGAGTTGGACTCAATAATAATTGTTCGACGCCTCAGACCATCGAAGGTTTGCATTAAATTTAAATATTTAATTCAGTGAATTATAGTAATAATTGCAATGTTAGGGGTGAGAGACAAAAGATGACCACAAATATCGATACAATTACTGTCAACAAAGACAAAGAATTGACTTTAAATTTAGAAGACATCGAACCGACAACACTTTTGGAACAATCCATGTCTACACCAGAAGTACTTTTGTCGAGTAATATACAGTGTTATGTAAATCATAATTAATTGCAATATATTTACAGAACTCGAGACTTGAATGTGCAATCGATGGCTCGTTAGCCACACCCGACCATCAATTAGAACTAGAAGATGGCGAAGACAATGGTTTGATTAGACAATAATTGTTTGTCATTTGTGTAGATTTTACAATATATATGTTCTCTGTTTTAGAGTTACAAGAAATACCATTAATTGACGAAAACTATTCTCAGGATTTTCAAGATTTAAACCAATTTAAAGGCTATACCATTGATAACCATTTAAGAGTTGGACTCAATAATAATTGTTCGACGCCTCAGACCATCGAAGGTTTGCATTAAATTTAAATATTTTTCTAGTAATAAAGTAACAGTTATATTAGTGTACACTATAAAGTACTGTAAAATTACTACAAATACAGTAATTGTTAATTGATTGCAATAATTGACACAAATATTGAAATCTAGAATACGAGCAGTTATTGTCTCAAATTCAGTCGAAGAATTTGACCACATGTCCGGTGTGTTCGAAAGCATTCATCAAGAAGTCTAAGCTGATCCGTCACTATCACACACACTTCAGTAACTTTAGACCCAAGTTCTCGTGTGGCTGTTGTGGCAAACTATTCACAACACAAGACTGGTGTAAAAGGCATGCATTGAACTGTCAGAGCAAAGTGTCTGCCGTTGGATTCGTTTAATTCATACGATTCTATGAGTTATAGTAATTATTTATTCGTATTAATGATTGTCTTATGTTTGTTATACTCATCGCTTGGAATCAATGTATTACTATTAGACAAATCCAAAACTAACCAAACTTATATTACTCGCATTTCTATTCTACTTAAAGTAAACTTAATATCGTATCGTAGTCTATTGAAATGTTTAACTTAATTTTAATAGGAATTAATTATAATGGCATAATGACCAAGTTCGTAATATGCCTTTTAACTTGTATGAAATGAACTACCGTACTTTATTTTGAGTAGTATAGAACTGTAAGAATTATAACTATTTTGGATTTGCCTAATATTTGCAAATATAATCAAATACAGTATATTATATTATTTATTATTATAAGATTCTATTCGTCTTTCAGAATATATATTATATATTGGTTTTATATATTTAATATATTTAATATATTATATAAATTATATTATTTTGTTATTTTATATTCATATGAATTATACATTATTTAATGGATGATTGGAATAAATTAAAGATTTAATATATTATTGGAAACAAAGTTTGTACCGTAACAATTATATCATAAAATAAATATAAAATGAAAACAATTACTGACTTCCGGTATAATGAATATTTGATAATATGACCAAATAATCATTCCCATAATAATTTTTCAGTTTTTATAGGATTTATATTTTTAATAATTTAAAAATAATCTTAAAAATACATCTCATTATAATTTAAACAATGAATGACAAAATAATGACTATTATTATAAGTTATCGTTTTATAAATAGGGACTCAAATATTTATAAATTAATAAATTAGTGCAAAAGTCAGACGTTGTGAGTCTCAGTCTGCAATAAAGAGCTATAATGTGGTTCAGAAGTACTTTTAGTGGACGATAATTGTCGGGTCTTGTTGTAGATGAAGACCCCGGATATCACAATAGCTGTTCCAATCCAACTCTGGGTTGTGACTGGATTTCCAAATATAATAACAGACAACCAGATGAGAAACGCTCGCTTCGCAGTGTTGGCCACACTTTGCAATCAATTGACAACTAATTAGTTAATTATAAAAAACACAATAATTAGAGAAATACCTGTGCGTTACGGGAGATATCAAATTGAGAAGAATATATTCGGTATAACTTTGACAGTGAAATGAAATGCCGGCCAATATGTAAGTGAGAAGTAAGTTCTTTTCGGTGTGAATGGAGTGCACAAAGTGTGACACATCCACGAGAATTAAGACACAAGGAATCTGAACGATCATCGATGAAAAGCTGGTATAAAACTGGAGGTGTGAGGGCTCGTACTGTTCCACATTCAACAATCTCTTGGAAAATACATTTTGAAAGCATTCGGACAAATTGGTCGCCAAAGATGCAAATAAACCAATTAATGTGAATCTCATCTCAAAGGCAGAGCAGAGGACGAGTCCACTCATCACAGGAATCAATGAAAGATTGACTAAAAGCGATGTCTTTTCACCCAAAACTACCCGTGCGATGAGTACTGTGAAGACGGGCGCAGAACTCTTGACAGTCTCGGCGAACGACACCTCAACAAACCAGAGGGCTATCAGTCCCAACACTATCGTCGAGAATCTGTCACCAGACGGACCACAAACAGACATACATTAGACAACACATCACACGAGACACTCATTTCATGCAAACCTAAGACTTCCGACAACTAATAAATTTTTAGTGAAGTTCTTAAGTTTGATCTCAAATTGGTGTCCATTGGATGGCTTGGATTGTCTTCGCACAAGACGTTTAATTTGTGGCCAATATTTCAATTGAAATAAACTACAAATCGTACAAAAGGTTAATTGAAAGACTCCTACGATTGGGACAAAAATAAGACCAAATTAGTGATGCATGTGATGGACAGGGAGGACAGGGATGTGTCACCTAACATAGTGGTGTCTCCCTTCTCGTAGGAGACGATGTATTTGTTGAGGAAGAGTGTCGTGAAACTGAAGATATACCACAAGACGACACAACGGATGGCTTTGGCGGAGAACAGAGAGTTGTCCGCAATCGAGATCTGTCTCTTCATTTCCATCGACTGACCATTCATTTGATGAGATTTTCTGATCGTGTCTTCGGGTGTCGCGCTGTCAGACATTGTCTTCTTGTCCGAAGAGCTCATTCGTCTCAATCCGGACGAGTCATCGCAAGACATGCTATGGTATTGAATGAGATCTGAAAGCAATTGATTTAAACATAAGTTATATTCAACTGAATATTCATTGAATCCCTAAATAAATGACAAAACATTGTCTCAATTCTGTGTCTCATTCACTCTATTCATAAATTATGTGAAACTTATGGATAATATGAAGAATTCTTTAAAGAATATTGGATTCAATCAATTGAATTCATATCTCATGTTAAATAATCATAATTGTAATGCATGTTAATCAGGATCAGTTTATACGAGTGGTTGGCAGCAATATTTACAATTAATTGAAATGAGCTAGCTACTTAATTGAATAATATTCAACGTACTATGCAATGGGAGAGTGAGTGTAATGTTGGCTCTAATGAACACATTTTGTAAGTTTACAAACACTGCAACACATGTTATGGTAGACTACACCGGATTTGCATCAATTCATTTGCTGTACATTGGATTGGATTAGCTCTTGTGGTCATATCGGACACTATCACCACATAAGCAGCGATGACTCAAACTAATAAACGTTTAGTCCATCGGAATGTGAATAAACAGAAAAAGACTTTTAGGAGATATTTGAATGATTTATTTAATTTCGTGCGAAACCATTGCTTAACACTTAATATATTGTTTGATAAGAAGTTATCATTTGTAGTAATGATTGTTTTGTTTGCTTTTGAATGTGTCCTCAACTTATTTATTATTAATAGAGTTAAATGTAAGTCATATCGGTTACCATTCATTTGAATACCAGGTTATATGAAATAGCGTATGTAACTGTAAGGATTGTGCATGCTAATCTAGTATTAATAGTCTATTGGTGCGCCCGCTTATGGCCAGCCATTTGCCTCATCGATGATTAGATCCAATAGATTGCTGTTCACATTCAGACCATTTGTGATGATTTGTGATCATTTATGAGATGAGTCCATATAATGCATCAAATATACCAGTCTCTTTTAAGTTAGAGTAGCTCTCAATATGCTTCACAAACTCACTATATTTAACTGTAGAGAGAGAGAAAGAGAGAGAGAGAGAGAGAAAGAGAGAGAGAGAGAGAGAGGCAGTTATAATTAATTAGCCATTTATCCATAAAATAATGTTATGTTATAATTATAATAATGTATACAAATATAACAAAACTGAATTACTAATTGTAACAATAGACGTATAACTAAATAATAAATTTATTGAAATGTCCATTGAATAGACACAGAGATAGACTGGTCAACTTATGTACAACAGGTCCAGTGCTTCCTCAACGGCACTCTCGACTATAATGCCATCAAAGGAGATACGGGTCCTATTGTCTACCCGGCCGGACATCTCTACATCTATACAATACTCTATTACCTGACAAATAGAGGCACTATTGGGCCTTCATACTGGCCCCATCACACGCCACCGTACAGTCCACTAGAGTCTCGTTGACCAACATCTTCTGAAACACTTCACACAGATTCGAGTGATAACTGTTCCACTTTAGCCGGTATTGCGGTTCAGTTGATACCATTCTCTCACCATTTAATGGGTCCTCACTTTAATACTCTACAAATAAGACATACAACAAGTGTCACCATTAAAACTAAATCACACCCAACCACCCAACACAGTCACTCTTACAAGTCTACCACCACTACCACCACTACCACTATTACCACCATGCTCATTCAGTATATTCACTAAATCTACACATTATTAGAGATATAGGTTTCTATTGCGGTCACTATTGTGGTGTAAATCATAGCATATCCTAACTGTAAGACTCATTTGTATATTAATAATGGTTTGTCTGGTAGTGACCGCACAGTTGCGTTCAAAAGGATTGCATTTTCATTCACTATATCTTAGAGATAATGCAAATAAATATTACGGTAAAGAAATTGAACACAATTTGTGTCCTAAAAAATATAATTCATTAAATGAATGGTTAGAAATGAAATACTAGTAATGGATAGATTTGAATGCATGGGAAAAGTTTTGAGTTCATAAGACAACCCAAAACTGGTATTTCATTGATAATACATGTATGCAATGGATAAGTAAGCCATCGATCGCCTCATCATTTCCTACATTAAGACATTTTGTGAGATATTAACTACAATTAACTATTATATTAACTACAATTAACTATTATATTAACTACAATTAACTATTTATGGGTCCAAAGCATACAGCAGTGCACCTGTAGTGGACTCACTATACAGTACAGTATGTCTGATACGCTGTACCGTCTGTTATATAATAGTAGAGCACTGTATGACAGACTGAATGCCTGTTTGGACCCAAATATCATATAACTGTTAGGCAATGGAGGGTCA